GCACAGAGGCAGGCACAGACAAAAGCCCCGGGCAAGCCAGCACCACTCAAAGGGGAAGAGACCGCACCTGGCCCAGCAGTGCTGATGAGCCCCAGGTTCCGCCCCTGTCTGGTGTCTGACACCCCACACCAGACTCTGGCTGCGCACAGGTGCACTTCCTAGGGCCGCCGCTAGGGGGCGCTGGTGAAAGGGTTTGGGGGGACCCTCAGCCCCCACCGGGCAGGGGCCACCCCTGCACCCATGGGGTTACGGGATTGTCCTCCCCCATGGGGGAACGGGGCCCTCTTCCCCTTCGCAGAAGCCCAAACCTTCCTCCCGGGGCACCACTGCGCCCTCCTCTCGCACTCACAGCCCAGCGGCGGGCCGTGCGCCCGCGACGACCTAGACGGAGGCTGGAGTATCTGTCAGGGGAGGGCACCCCCTGGAAGCCAGGGACAAGCGGCGACCGCGGCCTCTTCCCAAACTGCAGGCACACATGCCTGCGCTGAAAAAGCCCCGGGCCAATCCAGCATCACTCAAAGGGGAAGAGTCCGCACATGGCCCAGCAGCGCTGATGAGCCCCAGGCTCCGCCCCTGGCAGGAGCCTGACCCCGCCCACCGATTCTGGCTGCGCACAATTGCACTTCCTATGGCCGCGCTAGGAGGCCCTTCTGTTGGGGTTCAGGACCCTCCGGCCCCTCAGGCTAGGGGGACTTCTGCACCCATGGGGGAACGGAACTATCCTCCCCCTGTTGGAACAGGGCCCTCTTCCCCCGGGGAGCCCTAACCTTCCACCCAAGGCACAATCACCCCTCTTCTCGCACTCACAACCACAGCGGCGGGGCCGTGTGCCCGCTGACGCCCAAGACGGAGGGGCGGGGTCCCACTCAGGGGAGGGCACCCCCTGTAAGCCTGCGACAAACAGCGAACGCGGCCTCTTCCAAAACTGACGCACACAGGCCCGCGCGGAAAAAAGCCCCGGGAAAGCCAGCACCACTCAAAGGGGAAGAGTCCTCACCAGTCCCAGCAGCGCTGATGAGCCCCAGGCTCCGCCCCTGGCCGGAGCCTGACTCGCCCACCCAACTCTGGCTGCGCACAGGTGCACTTCTTAGGGCGGCCGCTAGGGGCCGCTGGTGAGGGGTTCGGGGTCCCTCAGCCCCCTCGGGACTAGGGGGACGTCTGCACCCATGGGGGTATGGAACTTTCCTCCGCATGTTGGAACGGGGCTGTCTTCCCCTCGGGGGAAGGCTAAATCATCCTCCCGGAGCACGCGTGTACACTCCACTCGCAATCACAGACCCAGCGGCGGGGCCTTGCGCCCACAGACGCCCTAGACTGAGGGCCGGTGTCCCTGTCAGTTGAGGCCACCCCCTGTAAGCCAGGGACAAGCGGCGTCCCCGGCCTCTTCCAAATGTGCAGGCACACAGGCCGGCATGTAAAGACCCGGGCAGCCAGCACCACTCAAAGGGGAAGAGTCCTCACTGGCCCAGCAGCGCTGATGAGCCCTAGGCGCCACCCCTGGCCGGAGCCTGACCCCACCCACTCGACTCTTGCTGTGAACAAATGCACATCCTAGGGCCGCCGCAAGAGGGCGCTGGTGAGGGGTTTCGGGGACCCACAGCCCCCACCTGGCTGGTGCCACGCTGCACCCATGGGGCTACGGGTTTGTCGTCCCCCATCGGGGAACGGGGCCCTCTTGCCCTTCGAGGAAGCCCAAATCTTCCTCCCAGGACACGCCTGGACCCTCCTCTCGCACTCACAGCCCCATCGGCGGGGCCGTGCGCCCGCAGAAGCCCTAGAAGTGGGCCGTGTTCCCTCTCACGGTAGGGCACCCCCTGTAAGCCAGAGACCAGCGGCTACCGCGGCCCTCTTCCCAACACTGCAGGCACACAGGCCGGCGCGGAAAGCCCCGAACATGCCAGCATCACTCAAAGGGGAAGAGTCCGCATCTGGCCTAGCATCGCTGATGAGCTCCACCGTGGACGGAGCCTTATCCCACCCACCCATCTCTGGCAGCGCATAGGTGCACTTCCTAGGGCCGCCGCTAGGGGGCGCTGGTGAGGGGGATCGGTGACCCTCAGACACTCGGGTCTAGGGGTCCTCTGCACCCATGGGGAAATGGAACTTTCCTCCCCCATGCGGGAACGGGGCCTTCTTCCCCTCGGGGGAAGCCCAAACCTTCCTCCCGAGGCACGCCAGCACCCTCCACACGCACTCACAGCCCCAGCGGTGGGGCCATGCGCCTGCAGATGCCCTAGAAGGAGGGCCGCTGTCCCTGTCAGGGGAGGGCAAATCCTGTAAGCGAGAGACCAGCGGCTACCGCGGCCTCTTCCAAAACTGCAGGCACACAGGCCTGCGCGCAAAGCCCCGGGCAAGACAGCACCACTCAACGGGGAAAGAGTCCGCAGCTTGGCACAGTGAGCTGATGAAGAACCAGGCTCCGCACCCTGGACGACCCCTACCCCGCCCACCCGACTCTGTCTGCGCACAGGTGCACTTCCTAGGGCCGCCGCTAGGGGGCGCTGGTGAGTGGGTTCGGGGACCGTCAGCCCCCTCGGGGCTAGGGGACCTCTACAACCATGAGGGAACGGAACTTTCTTCCCCCCAGGGGAACGGTGCCCTCTTCCCCTCGGGGGAAGCCCAAACCCTCCTTGCGAGGCACACCAGCAACCTCCTCTCGCACTCACAGCCCCAGCATTTCTTTTAATCATCTTTGTGGCAGCTTCTGGTGGTCATTATTTCTTGGCAGGCATTCGGCTTCTCTGCATCTTAGGTAGTTTGCTGTTCTCCCCTTGCGCGCATGGTTCCTTGCCCACGCCGGACCTCAGGGACCATTGCAACAGCCATTAGCCCTGAAGGTCACTGCAGGGGGGGTGCAGCAGGTCCCCCTTTGTTTTAGAACGAAGTTGGTAAGCATACATGTCACACTGGATGCGGTAGATGGACCTGTGAAGTGGCGGACACAGAAGGAAACAAACAACAGAGAAGCAGGACAAGTAGTGAAAGAACAAGGAAGGAGAGAACAAGAGATGATACAGTGAGTAGGAGTTAAAGATTGGAGAGTGGAAGCCAGAGAATGGGCAAAGAAGAGACTGATTATCTAGGTGAGATTTACTGACAGCAGAGATTTCAGACTGAAGAGATGCAAGGTCATGAGAGAGGTCATTGTCATGCCAGATGCCCAATAGGTGATGTTTAGTAAGATTCCAATGTAGAGAGGAATTATAACGCAAAGGTGTAACACAAATGAAACGAAACTGAACGTGGCAGCGAGTGGATAATTGCTGCTTAAGCAGCTGAACTTCATCTCCAATGGCAATAACAATTTCTTCCAGGGTATTTATCTTTCTTTCTAACTTGTAGTCAATGCCCCGCTGCACAGAGAGTGCCATGGTCACATTTTTGGTAAGGTCATTTACAAAAGAAGCTGTCTTAGCTTCCTGAATTAAAGCAACAGAGGAAGTAGCTAAGGAGGTAACCAGGGACATTAGAGCAGCAATTCCTAGAATAAGGGTGGCAATAAAACGTTTAGGATGAAGAAGGGCATGTACTTCATCTAAAATTTGCATGGCAGTATTATCATACCAAGGCATATCATGTAAATCAACAGGTAACATAACATAGGGGGGTCTTTTAAGTAAGACCACCACAGGATATACACGAGCAAGAGAGGGGGTAATACAATTAGTACAACACAGCCAGAACAATGTACAGAGTAAGAAGTCCCACGCAATTGAATGCGTGTAGCTGAGGCATTTCCCAGAAGTAGAGCGAAGGGATATTCAACGCAGGGACGCACTGGGATCTTAGCGGTGTCCTGTCCAGGTTGTTTGAAGTGTACATCATCAAAGGCAGCGAAAAGACGAAAGAGTTCAGGCTGAAAATAAGTCTTATTGTGATGATTAAAAGCATACATGGGTGGCACCCATCCAACAGAAAACTTTCTATAGGGAAGGGTTGGAACAGCAAATGAAAAATCATATACAGTAAACTGAGACATAAGAGGGGATATAGGCATGCTTGAGAAAAACCACAGTGCAGCCAAACTGGGTAAGGAAATAGGGAATCCCAGAATTGGTCAATATCCCGGTATTTTTGAACACAGTTGGGAAAAGGGGAGTAAAAGGCGGTGAGGAGAAGGTGCGGATTCCATTGTCCGCCGTTAATTGGTCCAAGGCCATGAACGTTAAATCCCAGATGACACGGTCTTTGTGGTTTGTTCGATGGCTTTTAGGGGGAGTGCGAGGTGGTGCATCAGTGAGCATGAAAACATAATGTAGCATCATACAACCAGGAAGGATAGATAGAGTTAGCATAGACACAAAGTGGAGGGCCATCAGATAGGCCCTCATAATCAATAGGGGATGAAACCATGTGTTCAGAGTGAAAATCAGCCAAGCCACCAAGAAGGTTGGTGTCATTAACATATACCTTTATGACAGAGTTTTCTGTCCAGGGAACCAGGTGCAGAAAATGTGGTTCGGGAACGTAAGCCCAAAATTGGGCCGATTGTACAGGTGCGGACTGAGTTGTCAAAACGGCAATAATTGCCATGAATATTGATAAGGCAGTGCGTGGAACATTATTTTGTTGCACCAGGTGTTCAGCCATCATCGCGAGGGCCTTTATATGACCCCAGGTTGGAAGGCGTTTGGGATGCTCCCGCAGGAGTTGAAAGCGACGCATCCTCCTCGTCAAACGCGCCATCTGCCGTTGGGGGCGGAGAGCCTGAGTTTGCGCTCAGGACCGGGACCGACGGGCAGTGGCGGATGAGGCAGTCTGGAATCCAGACAGGGGAGTCAGCATCCTGAGGAAAAATATAAGCATAACCTCGCCCTGAGGCAAGCAGCAGTAAATCTGGGCCTTTCCAGGCTCCAGTGAGGAGGTCTTTCCATTTGACCTGAGGCAGATGGGAAACGTCAGTGTATCCCAATGCCGCACCATAGGGGTGACACCTTTGTCATCCGAATTAAGATGATTAATTACAAACAGAGCATGTTGCAAAAGATGTTGAGGGGAATAAACGAGCTACATTTTGTAGACGGTGAAGTTGAGTTTTTAATATTTGGTGAGTTCTTTCTATAATACCTTGACTTTGTGGATTGTAAGGATGCCAGTAACATGAGCAATATGCCATTGGGCACAAAATGACTTAAATGAGTTGGAAGTATATGCAGGAGCATTGTCAGTTTTTAATTTTAACGGCTTACCCAACACCGCAAAACATGCAGTAAGGTGTTGAATAACATCCTTCACTGCCTCACCAGTACGGGCAGTGGCATGAACAGCATGTGAGAAAGTATCAACAGTTACATGAACAAAACAAATTCTCCCAAAAGAGGGGACATGAGTTACATCCATTTGCCAGAGAACTTGAGGCTTTAAGCCTCGAGGATTAACTCCTAGTTTGGGAGGATGATGAACATCCGGACAAGAAGGACATTCACGAACAATTTGTCTGGCTTGTTCTCTAGTAATTTGAAAACGGTGACGTAGAGCATTAGCATTTTGTTGATGAAGAGCATGGCTCTCTTGAGCCTGAGCCACCGTCATGACAGCTGGAGATTTTGTAAGTAAATCAGCCATCTGATTACCTAAGGACAGGGGTCCAGGCAGATTAGAATGACTTCTAATGTGGACAATAAATAATTTTTGTGTTCTGGCTCATAGCAGTGTGTGTAAGTGAGCCAGTGAGGAAGAAATATGGGATGACCCAGATATCAAGGCAGTTTCAATTGCCGGAAACAAAGAGACCACATATTTAGAATCAGAATATAAATTCAAAGGACATGTGTAATGCTCTAAAGCAAGTGTTACAGCAATGATTTCAGCCTGCTGAGCAGAAATTCCTTTAGAGAAACGCTGTATAGGAGGCTGATCAGGATGATATACTGCCGAAATTCCAGAGGAGGAACCGTCAGTAAAAACAACGGCAGCTCCATGCAGAGGCTGTGAGGAAATAATTCTTGGAAAAGTAAAAGCAGTTTCCGTCGCAAATTTTAAAATAGGGTGCTGTGGCAGGTTGAATTTGACCTGACCAGGAAAATTGAGTAAGGCTATGCCCCAGTCATCGTCATTCTGAAGCAGAAATTCAAACTGTGTTCTAGTATATGGAACAACAATAACGGAGGGAAGTTTGGCAAACAGTTCTTTAGAACGTGTTAACCCTTTCATTATCAGAAATGCACACATAGAGGTGTAAGATGTGACCATTTTTGTTTGATTGTGTGCCAAATAAAGCCATTCAAGAATACCAGATTGCCACAGGCAGGCAGTAGGTGTAAATTCAGTTTTAAGAACAAGTAATTCCCATGGTGATGAATAATCAATTTGAGAAACTCTAGCTTCAGAAAGTTTTTGTTCAACCAGATGCAGTTTTGAGAGAGCCTCGGGTGTCAAGGACCGAGGTGATTTAGGGTTAGGATCTCCCTGTAATATCTGGAAAAGAGTGTGTAAATCACCTGTAGTAATTTTAAGATAAGGACGAATCCAATTAATGTTTCCAAGTAACTTTTGAAAATCATTTAATGTGGAAAGTTTATCAAGGCGGATTTGAAGATTTTGAGTCATGATGAAATCATCATGAATGTTTTTTCCCAAATAGTTAAGTGGTCGATCACGCTGAATTTTGTCAGGAGCAATGACAAGACCAAAGGAGGTCAGATCAGTAATTACACATTGTAAAAGTGTTTCCACACCTTCCTTAGAGGATTGGCTCAGGAGAATGTCATCCACGTAATGAATGATATATGCATCAGCAATTTATGTCTGGTAGCTTGTAAAGCCTGATCAACAAATTTTTGACATAAGGTAGGAGAATTTTTCATGTCTTGAGGCAGGACTTTCCATTGAATGCGTTGCCAGGGTTGGCTAAAATTAGCGGATGGAACACTAAAGGCAAACCGAGGAGAATCATCAGGGTGTAGTTTAATAGTGAAAAAGCAGTCTTGCAAATCAATAATTATGATATCGTTTTGCTTTGGAACAGCTACAGGGGAGGGGAGGCCTGGTTGAAGGGCTCCCATGTCATGCATAGTGTCATTAATTGAGCAGAGGTCCTGAAGAAGCCTCCATTTTCCTGACTTATTTTTAATTACAAAGACAGGAGTGTTCCACGGACTGTTAGAGGGCTCTAAATGCCCTTTTTGTAATTGGTCAGAGACAATGTCATGTATAGCCTGGATTTTGTCAGATGTAAGGGGCCATTGAGGTATCCAGACAGGATCATTGTTTTTCCTAGCAATTTTATCAGCAAATAACTTTTCGGCAATGGCCCCTAAGAAAAAGCCTGTTCATCAATTAAATCAGGAGCAGTGAGGGTTAACCCCATAGATTCCGTCTCATCACGGCCCCATAACGAAAAGGGCAAGGAAGGAATCACATATGGCTGAAAGAAACCAGAATGCTCATTCATTTGCCAATGTAAAAGCTGAGAGCTTTGAGCTACATTGTCTGCCATGCCTAAACCAATTAAAGTAGATGAGGAATTAGTAATGGGCCATGACGAGGGCCAGTCTTTGCCAGCTAGGCATGACCTGTCAGCACCAGTGTCCAATAATCCCGTGAAGGGGTGTCCATTAACATATATTGTCTGTAAAGGTCTCTGTTTTGTAATGGGCTGTGTCCAAGCCACGACCTCGGTGGAGCCGAAACCACCGTCTCCCCGTTTGTCTTTTAAAACTGGGTTTGGATGTTTGACATAACTTAAAATTAGAATTTGAGCTATTCTTTGATCTTTGTGAATTTGAATAGTTTCCTTTAACGGACGGATCATAACTTTGACTCGGCCTGTAAAATCTGCATCAACAATACCTGGCAACACCTCAAAATTCTTTTTGTAATTTGAACTCCGACCAATTATTAGTTCGACCGAGCCAGCCGGCAGCGGTCCCTTTAAATAATTTTCAACTAATTGCACATCTTCTGGGGAAGAAAATAAAACATCCTTGAAGGCAGCTAGATCCAAACCAGCACTGCCCGGGGTGCCCCGGGGGAGGTCATGAACAGACACTTGGGGATGGGAATCGGGCTTAGGGGGTTGTTGATGAGACCCTCTTTCTTTTACGGGGCTGAGGGCTTGCCCCTCTGGAAGTTTTTTGAGTCAATTGACTGTTTAGAATTAGGGGTTAATTTATGGCCATCCTTATGCCATTTAGAACGACATTCGTTGGCCCAATGATTACCTTTTTTGCAACGAGGGCATGGGCCTTGTGGGATAGGGCGTTTAAGTTCAGCAATTACTTGGGCTTTGTTTGGGCAATTTTTGGAGGTGTGGTTTGGCTGGCCGCAGCTAAAGCATGAAACCTGATTGTTACGCCGCCCATGAGGCATTGACTGAATAAAAGCGACAAAAGGTTGTCCTTTCATTGCTGCAGCATATGCAATGCCTTGA